CTGCTGGCGTATTAGCTTTTTTCCAGCCCCCTGGAATGTCTCCAGCATTCGCAATCTGTTAAAAAGCGACCTCAGTGACTCAGACTTCCTGAGCCAGGCCCTTTAAAACTCTTGGATGGGCCCGCTCCGTCCTGTGGGTCTACAGATAACCACATTTTAGCACTTGCTATTTAAGCGTCCTGCTTAGAAGCCACGCCGTTACCTCGCTATGCTGTGAATACGCTTTTCAGCTTTCTCATCTCTTGTTTTTTGTACATCCTCTCTGCAAAGGGGTCGGAACAGGCAGTGAGTGCTGCTACGGATTTATGCCCCGATGTGTCTCTAGGATCATGAGGGTGTGTGACGGTGCGATCTGCTGGCTGACGGTGTGTCGGAGGGGTTTTTTTCAGCTCCTGGTCATGTAAATGAGATTTGCTGTGCTTATAATTAACAGGCAGCAATGGGCCCCAGAAATTCTGCATCGATAAAGTTGGCAAAGAGACGTGGCTGCCTCGGAGCCATACATGGTAAGTCATTTCTCCTTGGCCCCGTTAGGAGCGCACGGGGACAACCGCTGGCAGTCTCTGCGGGGCTGCGCGGGCCCCGGGCGCCCTCCGTCCCCTCCACCCGCGTTCCCACGGGACGTAGCTGCTGTTCCCGGCCGTGCATCTTATCGCAGCTGCTGTGCGCGGCCGAGGCCGGAGGAGGGAGGAGAATGGGGATTGCGGTGCTATTCACAGCCTCTGCTGTCTCTGCAGCTTCAACCGTCTGGATCTCCCTCCCTACAAGAGCTACGAACAGCTGAAGGAGAAGCTGCTTTATGCGATTGAGGAGACGGAAGGATTTGGACAGGAGTGACAGAGCTTTGGCGCTTTCCCAGAGCGGGAAGGGCTCTGGAGCGCTGCCGGCCGCGAGGTCCTGCCTGCCGGTGCCCGCGGAGCCCAGCGCCGAGCCCACGCCGCGGGATGGTGCACAGGCAGCTGCGGATACTGTTGCTCTTGTTCCTGTACGAGATCTGCGCTAACGCAGCCCCGAGGGAAACAGGTTCACGTTTCCCTGCCCAAACAAATTCGAGGTGCGACGGGCAGGTGGCCGCACAAGCCTGGCTCCGCTCAGCTCGTGAGGGGCGCGGGCTGGCGCTGGGGGACGGGGGGAAGCCCTGGGCCTTGGCAGGCAGCGTACGGTGCACTGAGGCTCCCCGGTCCCCCCTCGCAGACACAGTTAAATGAGATCCAGTTTCGGCACAGGCTATTTTTCCCCCCCCTAGTGTTTTCTGCCTTCTCATGGCATTTTAATAAATGCAGGCAAGGAGGGGAAATGGCTCTTGAACCAACTCTCAGGTCACTTTTGGGCCCTATCCTGCACCCAGCAAAGGTAAGGGGGATGCAGCGGGGGCCGAGGCACCGCACGAGGGCTGGGAGGGCCCCTTCCCCTGCCGGACCCGCAGCTGCCCGGGCCCAGGGCCTGGCTGACCGTGTCTGTGGCGTGTGCGTGGCCCCTGCGCTGTTGTATGTCATGGTTAAGTGGTGTGTGGCTCGGAGCTGGTCCTCTGCAGCAGCCTCGGGGGCTCCGGTCGCGTTTGGGGCACATCTGGCCTCTGCTTGGTTTGTGGGTTCGGCCCAAACTCCCTGTGTTTCCTCTGTTGCCGGCGGGGCTGGTGGCAGGAGCTCCCGGAGCTGCGTTGAGGGCAGGATCAGGCCTCTGCCCCTCGCCTGGGTGCCACCCCCGCTGCTGCCCCTCCCAGCGCGCCCTGGGACGAGGGACCCGCGCCACCGTCGGTGTACATAGCTGTACCGAAAGGAAGGCCGTGGATACGAGACACTGCAATAGCTTTTGACTGGTAACCGGATAGTTTTGTACTGCACCATCCTGCCTCAGCGATGCCGACTTCTTGTGCAATAAACAATAAGCAGCTGCCGAGGTGCGTGTGCCGGCTCGGTGTGGCGCACGGGGGACAGCCCGGTGCAGGCTCGGCGGGGGCTGAAGGGCTGCGATAGGCGCCTCGAGTCATGAGTAATGTGTGTTATTACATATAATACATGTGCAGGAGGGTCAGGCTGGGCGCAGCGCTCCTGCCTGCCTTCGCCCAACCTATAATCACACTCGGCTAAAAATGTCTGCAGGAGCCGGAGCTCCCCGTGCCGCCGTGCGACACCCGGAGCGGCATTGGTGGAACACCATCAGGTGAAGGAGGCCAATGGCCATAGGCTGGCGGTGTTTAGTAAAAGCTCCAACACAAGCAGAACTGAACAAACCCGCTATTCAGATCCCCAGCGGCCAGTCTGCAGCCAGGAATTTTGCCATGACTTTGCTTTTCAGCGGCCGCCTTGGCTGGTTGGTTCTTTGTGTGGGTTTGGGGTGGGTTTTTTTTATTAGTTTGTACTCGCGCCCAGTGTGGCACAGCCGGTGCCAGCCCCGTCGCAGAAGCAACGCTTCGATCGCTGCTGGCACTTTGCAGCCTCCTGGCACCGGCGTGCTGACGCAGCGCTCACGTCTACCTGGAGCCCCGGGCACGAGTCACGCCCTGGCCCGGGAGGTGGCAGGGAATTGGTGGCGTCTCGTGGCGGGGAGAGGCACGGCCCCCTCTGCCCTCTCTCCTACAGCTGCTTTTCGATTCAGCTTCAGTGGCTACTGCGGTGCTGCAGCACGAGTCCTCCCTGCCCCTTTGGCCCAGGCGGGCAGGGAGCAGCGGCCTGCGCTCCTGGCCCTGGCGTGGGACGGTGACGTGGGACAGGGTGGCAGGTTACAGGCGTGGCTGCCCCGGAGATGCTGCGCAAGGGTGGCTCCCTGGCACTTCCCCAGTGTCGCGCCAGCACGGCGCTCTGCTGAGGCCGGCCCCTTTCGGTGCCACCGCAGCTGTTTTAACCACGGAGCCTGAGGGGCGAGCAGCCGTGGGCTGGCAGGGCGGCCCGGGCAGCGAAGCCGGTTCCTTCCCTGGCGCAGAGCGGCGGAAGCTGCAACGGCAGTGACGTGCCACCTGCGCTACGCCGCCAGGCCACAGGGTGCCCAAGGACCGTGCAAACAGGAACCAGATTAAATATACAGATGTCTGCGTTGCATGAAATTGGCTAATTGTAACCCATTAGTCCTGAAAAATGCAAATACGTATGCACGCTGCGAGCCTGCTGTAGTAATGAGCTGGTGTCCTGCAGGAGGAAGGGAAGATCTGCACGCCGTGGCAGCACCATGCCCAGCCCTCCCTCCTCACCCCATCTTCTTGCCCCTCTGTGCTTCCACACCTGCAGAGCATCACATCAGCCAGGACATTTTTCTTTACTTTTTTTTAAAGTGTCAGGTAACAAAACAGCCAGCCCCGATCTCGTCACTGCCCAGCTAGAAAGCATAGAGGAAAAAAAAATACTAGCCCAGCAGAAAGTACAGCTGGAAGAAAAGAGGCAGCAGCAGCAACAGCCTCTGCTGTTCACTCCGTGGTGCTTCCAGAACTCGGCACCTCCTCCTCAGCGCAAAAATGAGTTGACACTAATAAATCAGGTCTCACACAGCAGCGCAAACTCGGTGACTGGTAAGACAAGCAGATAGCGTGGAGTCTAACACAGCACGTGGTAGAAGTCCTCAGCTGTTGGCCTAATAGTCCTTGGAGGAGCACTGGGGGAAGGAAGAGTGCTGCACTAGAAAAGATTAAATAAAAAAATTCCCCCCCACTTTTACCCCTTCCCTGCCTGGGGCCGAGGCCCAGAGCGCCAGGCCTGCCCTGCAGGACCCGTCTGCTTGCTGCGAGAGCTGCCCAGCCACGCTACGACGAACACAAAAAGCCCGTGCCAAAGCTGGGGAAAGCAGAGCACCGACCATTTCAACGGGAGAAAAGAACCCAGCCTCAACGTGATTTAGTTTACAAGATTTTTAATTTACAAATAAAAAAACTACACATTTTACTTTTTCTCCTTTTTCTCCTCTTTCTTGACATCACTCTTCTCCTTGTCTTTCTCCTTCTCATCTTTTCTCTCCTTTTTACTTTCTTCTTTTTCCTGTCCTTCTTTCTTCTCTGCATCCCTGTTGGCAATCTTGTTGTTAATGAGGTTGTGCAGGGCAACCACGGAGCGGATCAGAGAAGCCAGATAAACTACCACCATCTGGTCGTTGGTCTTCAGATAAAAGGCCTTGACAAACTCCTGCAGGTTGACGTCTGGGAGCAGGTTGAAGACGTCCTGAAGGTGGTAGATGATCTGGTGATTGATGGGGAGTTTGCCCATGGCTACTTTCTCTAGGTAGCTCCTGATGTCCAGAAGCTTGGAGTTCAGTCCCTTCAAGCCATGGACCTGGTTTGTGATCCGCTGGGACAGGGTGCCCACCGTTGTATCCTTGATATCTCTGAAACACCCGCAAGAGAAAGAATCAGCACCGGACCGTTACCTTGCCTTCTCGTTAACAGGTGGGCACACTCACTTAAGAGCTCTCTCCAGCTTAAACAGAGGAGCAGTTTGAAGCCCAGCTGAAACGAATGCTTCGAGTCCAAGAACGAGAACAAACCGATGTACGTCACAAAGCGTAGCTAAACTACATTGTTGTTGTATCCTGTGGTGCGCGTATGTTCTCTTTGGAATAGTATTTGTAACACCAGTTAGAGGGATAAAGGGAAATAAACAACAGGATTTCTGACTGGTGAAAAGGTGACGTGGTTTGTATAGGGCCACTGCTCTCTCTTTTTGGCTGGAGAGTTACCGGCCCACCAGCAGCGCTCCCCTTCAGTCCTGCTCCGTGAGGTGCGCGGCGGCTGGAGACAGTTGCAAGCGATGCAATATTCTGCAGCTTTGATAGAACGAATATGTAGTTTTCATCATCTCATCAGCGGGCAGTCGCGCTTTTCACTAGCGCTGAGTGAATATGCCAAGCAAGACTGCTAAATGAATACGCTCTTAGAATTTATGCAGTGTGTTTAACAAGATCCGCGCTTCCCCCAGGAAGCTGGCACCGGGAGATGCCAGATGGATCGCGTTCACTGCTACGCTAGCCTCCTAAGAACGCTTTCGGTTTAAAGATGCTTACCGTAGCAAGTGTTCGACACCAACTTCCTCTGCCTCCTCTGCGCCGATCTCGCTAGTCACGTGCTCAAAGGTCTTGGAGGTCGGGGTGCCGTCCTTCGAGGTGCAAGGACAGAGGAGACATGGTCAGACTGAGCAGGGAGCCGGCTGCAGGCACGCGGGCGCAGGCCAGCTAGCCAGTGCAGGCGTCTCGCGGGCGAACAGTGGGGCAACTCGCACGGCGTCACAGCGTAAGAGTAACTGACGCCTGTTTGCACGACAGGATCAGGAAGAGGCAATGGGGCAAAGTACGGCAAAACAGAGTGCCCGGGGACTCGGTGCGCAGCTAAGGGCAGAAGTCTGTAAATTCAGAAAAAAAATACTAATACGGAGCAATCTCATTAAGATTATAATTTATGCACTGGATATTAAGGAAGATATTTAAAAGATTCCCAGGCTGAGTTCCCGAGAATGAGTTTTACCCATGTGTTTTCAAAACCACATACAGCTGTAAACAGAAAGCACCACCGGGACTGTTGCGAATTCACAAAACTAAGAACAAATCCTGCAGATAGAATATCTACACTACTGGGAGCAGTTTTTCTCCTTAGTGAGGGTCTCAGAAAGGCAAAAGGATCAAACTTTTTAATGTACATCCAGAACGTAGTTGAAATCAACCAATTGCAAATGAAAAGCTAAAGCGGACTTACTGCTGGATGTTGTTTGTCTGCACGGTGCTGCAAGTGATTAGCGAGTGCTGCTCGTGCCTGACCTACCTACTCAGCACTGGCAGCTGCACAAGTGAATAAGCACGCGATTACTCAGAACACCTCTGCAAACAGGCTGACAGGTAGAAGTGACATCTTCAAAGTGCTCCAATCTGTGACTTCATTTAACCTCTGCTTTCAGCAGACTTTGGCTGCAAGTCACAGGCCCTCACTAGCGAGCGCAGCATCCCATCTGTAAAGGCAACTATGTGCCATGGGCCGTGCATCCTTCAGAAAATAAGGCAATCCTAACAGCCACCTTTTAATGGAAACCCTTTTCCTAGGAAAAGGCAGAGAGACACGTTGAATACTCACATCGTGAACTTCTTCAACCGAAATATAAGCTTCTGTGGGCAGCCCCAGGTCCTTTGGCTTCACATCAATAATCACCAACACCTTAAGAAAAAAGCAAACGTTTCAGAAAACCAGGTTTTATTCAAGGACTAGGAAAGAATACCTAAGTCAGGTCTTCACTCCACAGCACTGATACGCTGGCTGCTCAGAGGTGTTAACTTCAGGCATTGAGAAAAGGCACCTATAGCTGTTTCAAAAGACTCTGATCTGAGTTCCTCAATCACTTTCCAGCTACCAGGTCTTTAACGCGCTCTATCACCCGTAACAAAGGTGGGGGCCAAGGGTTCCCAGATTTCCCATTTAGGAAGGGGCAGGGGGAAGTGCCGCACTTACGGAGTTAGGACAGTATCTTTTCATCAGTTCATTGATGGCGATGTCGTTCTTGTGCAGTTTAGGGCCTGTGTGGTACCAACCAACTATTCTTTCTCTAGCTGAGCAAAACCAGAAAGGATTTTAAATCAGAATCGCGTGGTAAGACAACAGCAGAAAGATTTAGGCAGAGACTGAATTAGCAAATCAAGGGTGAAAATCTGATGCGTATAGAAGACGAGTGTAAAGTAGGGGGAAATGAATCACGGTAGCAAGACAATGACATGGCTAGTGACAAAGGCAGCTTACGAATCATACCTACTTACTGTAGCTTACTGATCACATATAGAACTTCACTCCTAGGTTCTTAACTAAACTGGACTATTTCGTATTATGTATTAATTTTGCAGATAACAGGATGTGACAGCTTGAAACTCTGACATCTAAGAAAGCAAAAATTCTAGCAACGCAAACTGTATCATGAGAGTGATGATTGTTCCCAGCGCTAAGAAAATTCATAGGCATTTAACTTATGACTGAAATTCAGCTCTAAAGTCTCACACTGAGCAGTGAAGACACTTTTAAAAACAGTGGTGAAGAGCAAGTAGAGTAATTACTTAAAAGTTTGTAACTTTCACATTCATAAAAAACTGTTTTCAGGGCACATCTGTATAAAACAGGTTATAAAGCTTTGAAATTCTTCAGAAATAATGGCATTTCTGAAATCTGAATTATTCTGAAGATACAAAGCTGTCAGGAGACTTGGGAAAATTAACAAGGTATAAATTAATGTGTTAAGAACACAAACTACTTGCACAAATTAACCCACGGAAACCGAAAGTGAAGCCACACAAGGAATTAGCATGGAGCGGCTTCTTAAGTAAGCAATTAATTTTCTATGAATCCACTTTCCCATACAGAGTCTGGAAAGTCGCCAGGAGAGTAACCCTGGCTGCAAGACCTCAACTTACCGTTGACCTTCTTAAACATTCCATACATGTTCTCCAGATAGTCATGGTCTAGAAACCACACGGTATCATCCTTGTCATCCTCGTCAAAAGGTACTGGGAATAAAACCAAATCCCATTATTTACGAATCCAACTTCCAGACTGAAAATGTTTACAGAAACGCTGTGTTTTAGGATATCTCTGGCCGCTAAAGGAGCATTTAATCGGTTTCAACTGCTCTGCAACACTATGCTGCGCAAGCTAACCTGCGGGCTGGTCAGTTCTCTCAGGCAGCGGCTGTCTCATAATTACGAACAGTTTCGAACTGAGGAATGAAATGCAAAGCTTTGTGAGGGTTATCCTCAGTGGACAACATCAAGCATCAGAGAGAAATCCTCCCCCCCCCCCCCAAAGTGACTCAGTCGTGCGCACAGACATTGGATATGATAAACTGAGTATCCCAGCAGACTTCATAGCTTGTTGATCAACAGCAGTCTACTTAGAGAAATATTAGTTTTTAGGGTAGAACACATCATCAGCGCTTTTACAGACTACTAGAACAAAACGAGGCACTTTTTAAGTAAGGACTATTTACCCTTGAGTAAACAACTAGTAATTTTATCAGCTAGCACGTCTCAGTTCTGAGAACAAAGACTGGTCTCAGTCTTTTAATTTATAGGTATACTAAAACCTTCATAGTCGAAAGGCTGCCAAAACAACAAAAAAAACCCTTTTCAACTCAAATGGAAAAAGTGCCTCCAAAAATTGGGAAAAAAAAAAAAAAAAAAAAAAGTCCACACTTGGGAGAAGAACTCCACATAAACTGTGAAACTCCATATATAAACTGAGATAATTTTGCTTTGTCACAGAGTAGCCCCACTGGGAAGGAAATGATCTAACTAACACAAATGGGTCAGCAAAAGCCGTGCATTCAAGAAGTACTTTTACCATCACATGTAAGTATTTAAGAGGAAACTATTTCAACACTATTCACAACATACTTAAGGAAAGAGCTCGTATCTAATTGGACAAAATCTGAGGAAAAGTGAAGGTAAAATACACATTAAATCTTTACACAAGTAGGTAACAGCTACATCAGCACCGAGAGCTGTGGTTTCTGTATGACACGTTGAGACACTGATCGCTCAGCAGAGGTCAGCGAGTCCAATGCAGCAAAATATTCACCAGCATTTTAAAAGAGGTTTACGTCCGCTCCTGAAACATTCCACATTGCACAAGGTTACAGGGCAAATGCAGCACAAGACTGGCTGGAATAGGTGTATTTTTGACAGCACTTAGCACTTTTTGTCTGATATAGGCTGATTTGTACATGGAGAGAAAAATCTGTGGTCTGGCAGGGTGGCTTAAAGAAACCCAAATGCAATTCATCTATTAAATAATTCAGTAGGGTTGAACAAGGGTCGGACAGCCGAACTCACCTGCAAAACTGTTGGACACATCTAGTATTTTTTTCTGCCACGAGCCCAGCAGCACACCGACGACTCGTTTCTGATTTCCAACTTTTCCTATTCTAAATGGAAAAGACTGTCAGTTCCTACGACAAAAAGCCTGATCCCGGAAAGAAGGTAACTGCGGACAAGTTGGCACGTCTAGTTTCTGCAAGTTGAACAGCACGTGCGTTGGAACAGAAGGAAAGGCGTTGTGATTGTTTTATTACTGATGGTTAATTTACATCTAGAAAAAAGGCGTTTTGGTGCTCTCGGAACCAAACCTTGTAACCCAGCGATGCAGAATGGGCTGCGTGGTCCGATGCAGCTAAGGAGGGGAAGGTGACCCAAAACAAGCACGGCTGCCGCCTCTCCGCAGGACAATGGGCTATAAAAAAGTGAGTAAGCTCTTAAACTGCTCGGTGTCATCCGCAATTTGCTTTCACAACAGCAAGCCTGTTCGCCTGGCGAGATTTTTTCTTTTTCTTTTTTTTTTTTTTTCCCCCTTTAACGCTAGAGCCGCTCGTCAGCCGGCGCGATGAAGTTAAATCGGGCGCAGATGACGCGAGGGGTTCGAGGGACGGGGCTCGCCCCCCGCTCGCCCGGCTGCAGCGGTGGGAACGAAGCCGGTTCCTCCCCCGCTCCCGTTTTAAGCAGCGGGGCGGTGCCCCCCAG